GGAAGGGAGGGAGAGAGGTGGGGGGAGAAGAAAAGAAAACTTTGTATGGGTAAGATACGGATTATAAGATTTATAAAAATAATTTTATAAAAAATTTTTCACTGAAACGAAGGTTTATTTTTTAATAACTGTTAAATGAAATGAATCTACTTCAAACATGTTTACTAATAGGTAAATTTCTCTGTGATGTTTCTGACTTTATTTCAATATACTATAACTAAATAAATTTACCTTTAAAAAAAAATGCTTGTTTTGGGAATTTAAAGGTTTTGCAACAAAAATAAAATGTTCTGGTACCCAGAGGAAAAGTCCTCAGTGACCCACTGATCAAATTATATCCACCGCATTTCCTCACACCATACCGCATCTCCTATGGCCAAACGTGTCCTGCTAAACAATCTCATTTCCCCTAAAGTGATGTCAGGAATCGTGTGTACATTCTATGGTAAGATATAAAGGAGGAAAAAGAGACAATATGAAATAATCTAGACAGTAAAAACTGGAAAAAAAAAAAGATAGAGAATCAAGTTTTGAAAAGGACAAAGAGGAAAAACGTCATAAGGAAGCATTAACAGTTGTTCTTTGTAAGCTAAGGGCACTTGACACTCACAGTATGTATCAAGTTAAGCCCCACACAGTGTACAATAAAAAGCAAACATGTGCCTGCAAGGTGGAATTCTCTTTCAGTGAACTAAATAGTCTCTGGGCAAGACATTAATGTCTTAGTCTCCTATGTTTACTAGTCATTTAAGCTGTAAAACAAATATAAGTGAGTCAGTCCTGTTACATCCCAAAGTAGTTAGTGAGAAAACTGTGGGATTTTTTTCTGACACTTTGATATTAAGATATGTTATGTACTGAAAAAATAAATTATATGAGGCCTCTTATTACAATTTTGACTTACTAAAGTAGTTTTAATCTGAACAGAAAATATGGATGACTTCACTGTGTAAGTTTGGAGGTGACTAAAAGGAGCCACTTGTCCAAAACAATTTTTTCCAGATTGCCAATGTCAACAAAACTGTAATCATCTATGTAGCACTTAAGCATATGAAGCCAGCTCACACAATAGTATTTCTCAGCACTTGTCCCAAATATTAACAGATGTCAGAGTGAAAATAATACCAGGTATTTTGGGGGGCTCTGTAGCTATGCCGTCCCAACTTCTTCAATAGAGTCACCAAGCTGCGGTCTTCTGAGAGGGTGAGTGCCAACTTCAGAAGCATTGCTCTTCCTAGAACAAAGAGCTAGGCTGGGTGCTTCTCAGGGTAAGCAAATTACGTGCAGTGCCCGTGGAGATGGCACGGAGATGCACACTGTGTGTGCCCCAGAGTGCTGACACCAGCTCACACAGCCTGTGCTATGTCATGTGATGACTCACACAAAGATGTGAAACTTTAATGAAAAGAATTGAAAGAATAAGACTAAGTTAATATGTTAGCAATAAAACCATGGCAACATGCAAGTGACTGAAGTTTTGGAAATACTGCTAGGAAAAAGATAACCTTCAGGCACACATCCTCTGGAATGACAGACTGCCAATGTGGCCTGCTGGTCTGATACACTTCAGACAAGCTGCTGCTAGGGAAACACTGTTTACTAACTCACATAAGTAACCTGAGGTCTGTCAAAGCAATCTTTTAAAATCCTCATTCCGTCA